GGAGTACTTTAAAATTTGTTGTCATTAGTCATCTTTTAATTTTTGTCTTCTGTGTTTAGCTTTGAATAGTCTAAGTACTAAGTTTAAAACAAGTATACTGGGGGCATCTTTCTTAAGGTATTTTACCGCTAATTTCCTTTTATCACTGGTAATATTTCAACCAGGGAGGATCCGAGCCTCCAATAGTTAAAAGATATTATCCTATCCTAATTCTAAAGGTTTCGTATTAACCCATTGCCCTTGGGCATTGAAGACTTGTTCCCTTTTGTTAAAACTAAAGGTTAATTTATAAGGTTGTTTTATCTGAATTTTGACAGAAGACTCTGCTAAAGATTTACTCCATTTAGTCACCTCTAAGTGTTGGGCTTTCCCTTCTAATAACTCTAGGTATTGGGCCTTAGTAAGTTTTCCTGCAAAGCCCTTACACTTGGTAACTATACCTTCTTCTGTTTCTAGAAAATAAACCTTCGGCATGACGAAGATACCCTCCTTTATTTTATGTTCTAATTTTAACTTTCCTAGACTAGCTGAGTCTAGATATTTTGAAGGTAGTGGGCCATTTAAAACAAGTGAGTCAGTATCGGAATAATAAAGCTCAAGACCTAGACTTAAGGCAAGTAACTTGTATTGATTAATGATCATTCTAGAATGTGCGGTCACAGCCGAGGCAATAGCCACATTAGTTTTATTCCCTAGTTCATTGAGGTCTTTAATTAATTCTGCCTTACCCTTATTTTTAAGAATCCATTCTTGATTTAGAAGAAGGGTGACAAGTGAGATATTTCCAAAGTCTATTTGAGCTTCCATCTGCCATTGAGAATTTAGTGTCTCAAGGCAATCATTATCAATAAATTGGTGTTTTGTTAAAGAGGGGTGCATCCCAAATCTTCCGTACATGGAGTTCATTAAGAGTTTAGCTAGGTTTCTTATTGTAGGTTGTTTATTTAATTGAGCCGTAATCTTCATCTCATTCAATTGAGTTATTAATTGAAGAAAAGTATTGGTCCCTCTTTTGAAAGAATAAGCTTTAGTTATACCTAACAATTGATAACCATTATTTAAGGCAAAGCGTAATTCTTCGGAGAAGAAGATACCTTTAAATGTTCCTCCAGGACAAATGAGTTTCCCTTGATATTTTATAGGAAGTAGTCCAATGTACTCGTTAGCAGGTGCCTCTATAAGGGCTTCTATAAAGCCATAGAAATTCCCTTCTAAGAATTGGTTAACGGTTAATTCTTCTAATGTGGGCATCCCAACAGGCATGGGTTTACACATTGCCGTGGGATAAAGGGAGTTCACATCATAATAGTAACCCTCGCCTACTAAGTGTGGTCGATATACATCAACTATTCCTCCACAATAGGAGGACCTTAATTCTGAGTCTAAGTTATGGCTTAAGTCATAAACCTTTAGTCCATCTTGGTTTAATAAGGGTAGCTGAGTTGTACGCCATATTCTAAAAGCAGCAGAGGGTGCAGAGTAAACCGCCAGCGGATCAATAGGAAATTTGGAGATAAGGGTTTCAAAATACTTTGTTAGGATTTGATACGTAGCTTTTACATCCCCTAAAATATAAGTTTTTGAGACCTCAAGGAAAGACCAATATCTATTCTCAAAAATCTTTACCATTTCTTTGTAATCTTTTGGACTTGTTCTTTTAGGCTCAAAATATGTATAAGCTGGTATGGGACCAATATATCTAAGGGTATTCTCAACACAATCCTTCCAGAAGTAATGGGGGAAGTGATCTTTCTGAGTCTCTGCACCCCAATCCTTAGCCAATTTGGCAAGTGCACCAGGAAGAATACGAATAGAGTCTTTGATTTCTAATATAAGTTTATTTTTCCTTCCTAAAACCTTGATTGAAATGATTTCCCCATCTTTCATTACGGGGCTAAAAGTGAAAGGTAATTCAAGAAGAGCCGGTAGGCTAAGGATTGCATCATAACCCCCAAAGTTATGAAAATAGACTGTACTTCCATTATTTTGATTGATAAGTTCTTGCCAGAAGAAGACTAACATAGTATTAGTATTATTTCCATACTGAGTGATGTCATAAACTTTAGCTATTTCCCCATTGTACCATGAAGCCATATAAACTTTGTTATTCCCATTAGGTAATATTAGGGCTTCTAAATCGGCAGCTACAATTTTACTTGTCAGATTGGGAGACTTTTTAGTAGGTGTTAAAGTTTCTATCTCAGGTATGTTTGACATTACACCAAGGGGGGAATTTTTATTGAAAGTCTCTCCAGTTTTTAGGGCGTCTTCTGGTAGTGGTCTTGTACCACTTTCTACCACGTCCTGTAAATGTTGCTTTTCCCCCCAACAACTAGTATTAGGGCTAATAGGTTCCTCATTTACAATGGGAGTCACAGGAGCACTAGAAGTTCCCCCTCCATTTTCCCCATTACCACCTTGAGGAGATTTTGAAGAAGAAATAAGCTCATTAAGGGTTTCAAATTTTGTACCAGTTGCCTTAACAAAAGTATTTAGGTTTTGTGCTAACTCACTAAGTTGAGAAGTAACCGTATTTGTTAGCTCGCCTTGACTTTGCGCTAACTCGCTAACCGTATTAGATAACTCACCTTGACTTTTAGCTATGGAAGTAAGGGCAGATTCAAGGGAAGATACCTTATTTAGCAGAGGAGCAATACGAGACTCAATTAATTGCTCAACTTGTGGAAGATTAGATACAACCGGCGCTTCAGCCGGAGTTTGTTTTGCGTTGGTAGGGACAGGGGCAGAAGGAAAGCTAACGGGAGAGCCTCCTAGTTGTGTTATCACAACATTAACGAGACCGTGTACTAAAGGAGCCCAGTTTACTCCACTCAAAAGGGAAGGATTAGGGGATGATTGATTTGATTTGATAGCCTCTACTATTTGTTTAGTTGATTCGGCTTGTGAAGTTAAAATAGTTGTCTGAAGAGTGTTGATTTGAGAGTTAATTACGGATAATTTCTCCTCAGTATTTTTACGAGAAGGACGAGTTTTAGGAGCTTCCGGCTCTTTGAAGCCTTTTGGAAGTTCAAGAGGATTTTCCCAGTTTACATTAGGAGCATTAGAACGATCAAAGACCTTAACAAGTGATGAAACTACTTCCTCAGGCTGACGCTCTTCGGGAGTACCTGACTGAGTTTCGAAGCCCTCAATATACCCAGTTATAAGGTGTTCAAGCTCCTCAAAGTTGGTAGAAGAATCCACTCTAAGACCATGACCTACGGTCCGTATTGCACCAGCTTTAAGCTGGGCTTCGATGATAAAATTGAACACAGGAGAAGTATGTGAAGAACTAGAAAGGATTGTCTTAATGTACTCTAACAATAGAGGAATAAAATCAGAGGAATAGATTGCTACCATGGGAATTGCGTAATAATTAAGAGTAGGAGGAAGGGGTTGTGTGGAAGGGTTCCACACGGTACCCTTGAAAGTGTACCAAATTTTGGTTGATGAAGAGTGAAGACCAGCGGAAACCGTTAAAAGAAAACTTCTAGTTACCGTCAAGAAGGCAGACGTGCTTAAAATTCTAAACATAAGGAAATTTCATAAATTGCTTACTTCTGATACCCTCTAAGAAATATACTCCCCAATTGTAGAACTTCTAAACACAGAAGACAAAAATTAAAAGATGACTAATGACAACAAATTTTAAAGTACTCC